GCACTATGACGATGGGCGTGGGCACGTTTCGGTGGATGGCCCCCGACGGTCCGTCCCTCCGAGAGCGCGTACTCACTCGTTCGGTATGACCATCTAGTCTATTGACACATTGATATTCTGACGGGATTGCTCAGGCATGCTCCTCTCAGAGTTTGACTCGCACCACATTCCGTACCAAGATTTGACCAACCCGACGACGGGCAAGCCGCTCGCAGACCCCGCGATCATCGGTGGCGTCTTGAACGGCTCGATCAAGCCGACTTTCAGCGAGACGTGTCCGGTTTGGGTCAAGGCGCTGGCCGATGGTTGTCTTCAATTCAGCGCAGTCGACCGCCCGACGATCTACGAGGTGGCAGCGACATTAGCCAAAATCCAAGTAGCGTGAGTCCGACATTTGAAGATGCTCATAATCACATTCATTGTATGACGTTTTCGTATTGCAATCTCCGTAGTCACCACGACCTGTCCTTACCACCCCCGTTACCAGAGGTTTTTGGACAATCCCACTCTAACCCTAGCCCTAGAATTACAAACGGTGTTCCCTTGGCAGAAGTGTACACGCAATATCGGATCGTTCTAAAGGGACGCGAAATCAGCTGACTCCAGCTCGGACAACTAACTGCACGGCCGGCGTGCTGCGTCGACGATACGGTCGATGGACCGGAGGTGGTGACGCGCCGTGTGCGCGCAGGTGGTTATACCAGCACATGATTGGCTCTCCATTGGGGTCTGTCATGAAGACGTCATCTCCATGCCCATCGTCTTTTGAAAGTCGACGAGCGTCGCATTGGCCAACGTGACAGCCGTGTGCACGCGGGTGAGAAGCCACGCGTACGAGGCGTTGTACTCGGTGCGACTCAGCGGCGGCGGCACCACGACGTCGCCGCCGTTGAGCCACATGTCGGGGTTTTGGCGGCCGCTTTGGGGACTCTGGTCGGCCACAAACACCTGAATACCCAGCGCTCTCAGCTCTAGGAGCGCGCTGCTGAAGCTGCTCAGGATCTCATCGACGTCGTCCGTCGACTGCTCGACGCAGGGCGGTCCGGCGTACGCGCAGCAGACCGGTGGCGTCGACGCACCAGGCGTCATCTTGCCCGGGTTGAGGTGCTTGGGCCAGTCCGAGACCAAGAGCACTGCGGTGGGCTTGGATGCCTTCACCATCGCGAGGTAGCCTTGGAACTTGGGTCGGCACGGCAAGAACGCTCGGCTCCACCGCATCTGGAAGACGATCGTGGGAAACGACGTCGCGCTCTTCGCCGCCAAGTGCCCAAAGCGGGGCTTGAGCAGTGAACACAAGCGGGATCGTCCGAAAGCCTCCGTGTCGTCGTCATTCGGATCGTCGTCATCGTCGTTGGTATGTTGTGTGGACGGCGTCTGGTGGGCGTAGTAGGCGTGAAGACCACCGAGCGCCATCTGCCAAAACCGCGGGAACGGGAGGTAGAATGACATTTTGTTGTTGCCGCCAACCCCGAGAAGCGCGAGATTGAGGGTAAAGCTGATGGCGAGGACAGTGAGTTGGAGAAGGATGCTGCGATTCGGGCGCAGCTTCATGGCCATCGCCGCCACGAAGGGCAAGAAGAGGTAGAACTGCTCTTCGACGCCGAGCGACCAGAGATGCAGTAGCGGGTTGGTCGTGGTGTCCCGATCAAAGTACAGTCGCGAGGATCTGCAAATTGGCGCCAGAAAGCGAGCTTGCGTCGCGGTCAGCGCCTGGAGCTTGCGCGTAAGAAAGAAATGGCAGCCAAGGCCGAGGGTCGTTGCAAGCACGAGCAGCAGCGCGGGAAAGAGGATTCTCGAAATGAAAAAGCCAGAGATGATAAAGAAGGCGTCAACGCCGACGAATCCACCGGAAAACACAGAGGGATAGGCGTGGAAGACGACGACGGGCACGACGGCGACGGCGCGGAGACCGTCAATGTCCGGTCGGTACGTCGATGTCTTTTTTGATTTTTTTCTTGGCTCCGCGTCGGTAAGCATCTTGCTGGTCTCGGCCGGCGTCAGCGGTGGCGCTTCGAGTTCGAGCTCGTCGGTGAGACGTGCATCACTGCCGCCCATGCTGTCTGACGGTGTCAGCGAGGAATCATGAGGTACGTAGAAGGTGGTAGTCCGCTATTGAAGCAGCGATCGACTTGTTGGGTGCTGCTTGGCCAAGAGATTTGCAAGTGACGAGTCGTCACTTGCAAAGCTCTTTTGTTAGTCGTCACTGACGACAACAAACGAGATCCGTTGTTTACCCACCGGTGGGTTGCAGCAAAAACGCTCGTCCTTGCAACCCTAAGCCTCCTTGCATCGTCGTTATGCCTCTTTTATTAGACACTTTTTGAACGCAACTCGATTCGTTGGTTGACGAGAATCGCGGAAAGAGAGATACGTGGAGGTGGCGTATCTCAAAGTGGCGCCGACGATGGAGCGAGGACAGCGACTTGCGCTCGCACTGCCCCCACGTGATCGAGAGCAACGATCATACAGAGTTTTTGTTTCCAGCGGTCGGTATGCATGCAGACAGAAGGAAGATGAGAAAATTGAGTGCTTCTGTTGCCTACGATATCAAAGGATATGTATGGCTGGCGTTGTGTGTCTCCAGCTCAACGACCGACGATCGATGACGTGGCAGCAGCGACACTGCCAAAGGTACGCATCGGAAGAGAGACTCCACCGTAGACTTGACTTTTAAGTATAGTTAAATTGGTAAACGGTGCAACGTATGGCCGCTATCAGCTACCATGGAGCGTCGTGGCTGGGCCAGGTAGAGTCGGTTGGTGCTCGGTGTGCCGGAGACGTGGTGGGTGCACTTGGCCGAATGCACCCATATCATTGGTCGAATTCAGAAATATCGGCTGAGTATCCACCAATCAAATGCCAACTTTTGCTTCAGAAACAGGAAACGTGGCATGCTCTGAGCAGCGCTGGGCGGGTGCAACGCGCTTCGATCACACATCTCGGTTTCTTTTCACACGGGTGACCGCGCTTGAAGCGATGGTTGATCGACTTGCTTGCAAGGGCTAGCACTCGTTCTTCTTGATGAGCATATATTCGACCAGACCACGACAGCCTTTCCTCTTCCGACAGCGGGCACGTCCTGTCAGCTGCGGCATGGGAGGTTTCGGCGACAGCGCCATCGACGCAGGTGCGTCGCCGCCTCATGGAGCCTTGGCGAGAACTCTCATGGGCGCTCTCTCGTCTCGAAGAAGTGCCAAGTAGCCGTCGCCCGTGGTGCGTCACGAGGTCTCTTCTCCATCTCGCCATCGCCAAGCAACGCTTCGTCGCACGCGTCATGCGTCGTACTGTAGTCCATCTTCAGAGACCATCCATCTCAGTCTTCGTGCAAGCTGCATCTCCTCTCTTCCTACACCTGGCAGCGACTCCACACCTCTTGGGTCTCGCTGCAGCGCAGCTTGCGGCCGAGGTCTCTACGTCCTCGCAGACCTCGCTCGTGACTCACGCGTCAGTGGTCAGTGCGCTTTGGACTAGTAGCGACGCGACAGCGACGGCTACCACCTCAACAAGTAGCTACGTCGCCGGCCGACGATTTTACTACGAAGGTCGAGGCTCACACGGCTTTCGACGCTCTCGCCGATGGATCCGAAGGCTACCAACACGGTCCTCTACGTGCGCGCCGATGATATTTTGGACGATACGGATGCGATGCCGGCCTCGGTCCTCGACGACATTCGCTGCCACACGCGCTTCATCTGGTGGTCGCTGCTCTTCCTCAACGGCAGCTGCCTCTGGGCCTACTACTCGTGCTTGTCGGCGCAGACGTACTACGCCGCGCGGTTTCTCAACACGACGTTGCGGTTCGAGTACCTCACGACGCCGATCTCGACGTGGCCCATGTTTCTCGGGCACTTGGTGCAAGTGCTGCTCGGGCTCGACTCGAAGCTCGGAGTGCTCTGGCGCGTCCGCGTCGGCTACACGCTCTACCTTCTCTCAGCGCTCGCGATCGTCCTCCAAGACGTGTGCAACGTATCGCCCGAGGTCGGCGGCCGCATCGTCTTGGTTGCGTTTGGCACGGTCGGCTTCGCCAACTCGCTCACGGAAGCCACGTTCTATGCGCTCTCAGCGCTCTTCCCGGAAGCCATTTTCACCAACGCGATGCAGCTCGGCAATGGCACCTCGGGTATCCTCAACATTTCGCTCAACACGCTCATCCAGCTGTGCGTCGGCGGCCTCGACCCGCCGCCGACGCGTTCCACGAGATCCAGCAAGTGTCGTTTTACATCTTCTTTAGCATCTTCATGCTCGTCTGCGTACTCGCGCTCGTCGTCTACCACGAGCTGCTGCGCATCCCGTCGCTCATCTACTTGGTCGCGCGGACGCATGCGACGACGGCGGTCCGGCGCGAGGCGCTGCCGGCGACGTGGGCCCGTCTCTGGCGCATTACGCAGGTGCTCTGGCTGCCGCTCGTGAGCCAGTGCCTCATCTTTGTCGTCTCGCTCGTGAGCTTCCCCGGCATTGGCATCTCGTCCGGGTACCAGCTCGCACACGGCGAGAGCTGGGCCAACTGGTACGTCAATGGCGTTTTGCTGAGCTACAACTACGGCGACTTTGCCGGCCGCATGCTCGCGCCCAAGCTCTACCCGTTCTTCACGCTGCGCTCGTGCTTTTACTGGACGATCGCTCGCAGCTTGTTGTTTCTCGCGCTCCTCGG